TCTGTCGTTTTATATACATTTGCTTCAGAACGTGTTATGCTTCCGTGTCTAGGAAGACAGTAAGAAGATCGAAAGCAGTTGAAGCAAAAGCAGTTTGCATTTGCTTTTAAGAAGTACCAAGTTAGGATCGACATTTAAGGGGATTGCTTGTTGTTGCTGTTGATGCTGCTGGCCTACAAAGCTTCTAAGGCCCTGCGGCAAATTGCAACTGGTTCTCAGCAGTGCAGACAGGTGTTGCTTTGCATCAAATATGCCAAGGCGCATTAGGCATTACAAGTCGCTTAAACGCTTCTACCACAGCGACTCTTCACTTCCCATTTCTGCATGCGTAGCCGTCAGCTTGTCAGTGAATCAGTCAGTCACTCAGTCACTCAGTTTGGAATTTCTTTACACGTTATAATTTTGCCAGCACGCTTTTCAGGTTTGTTGTGTTGTGTTGTGTTTGTCTCATCGCCATTTCACGCTGGCATGCTTTTGACACACAAATGACAAAGTGCTTAATATCAAGTACTGGGGTGTGCGAGAGAGAGAACCATGGACAGAAGCAGAACATTTATGTCACTTGAAACTTGACACACTCTGTGCACAGTTATTAAATATATAATACTATTGTCCTTATGCATTTTTACCAATATTTACATTAGTAGCAACTGATGACCTTTTAATTGTAGATAAAAATTTAAAAAATACTTGTGCATCAAAATTCTAACAGTGGCAATTGATTAAAATTTTGAATGTTTGCGTTGAGTGCTTGTGGATAGCACTTTGCCATCTTTGTAGTAATTGTTCTGTTAATTATCTAAGCCATTTTTTTGTGTAGTCATTGTAAGTGGAACGCGAAGTACTGCCGCGGCTCTATATGATTTTTGAGGACATATATTTCAATATTGTACAGGGTGACCACATAGTAACGGGTATTGTAAATTTGGTTCAATACACTCTGTTTTGCCTGCTTTCCCATAAAGTACTCAAACAAGATGTTGTTCATTATACGCCCTCTCATTTGGCAAGTCTGCCAGCTTTAAGATGCCCAATTGTAGTCAAATATGGCATGTTTTCATGAGCCAAGTGAGCCGTTAGTATAGCAAACCCATTTACGATCGGTCATTGACTGTTTCTGGCTGCATTACCACGTTCAGTATTTTGACAGTCACAAATAATGTGGGAGCTTTGCAATCTAGTTTTCTCTGGGAAAAATTTGTCTTCTATTTTAATAAAAATTTACTGTTTTCTGTATGTAGTACATAAACACAAAATCATGAAGAAAACCCAATTAGGCAAAGATCGATAAATTCCACTCAGTTTTGGGGATAAGTATGATTAACTGAACTGCATTTACATCTGCTATATGATGTATATATTTAATGGACGTATTGCTTTACAGTGTCAAAAATCGTCATTATTATATTGTATTAAAAACGTATGTGCCAGATAGAGCGTAGTAGGAGCAGGGAACGTATTGTGGTTAAAATCGAGTTTTATAATACAAGGATCAGACAGATCACAATCATTTTTATTTAATACCGTGTTTGTATATTAGAAAATCTGTTCAGTCAGAGATAAAGAGCTAAAGTCAACAGATTTAACAGGTTACTGATATCTTTAAAAGATCGATCCAAATATATTCGAGTGACGCCTTCACCCGCCTGCAACCTGAATTCTTTCCCATAACTTGCTTAGAAAATCGTCTGCTTAGAAACATTTTGAATATATATAAAAAATATTTTTGAGCTACTGCGGATGTTTACCAATATACAAGGGCTTCCACACAAGGGTGGACACTTAAAGTTCTCTGTATATTTCGGGGCGCGCCTGTCTTTGCTGTCTTCCAGGGTGTGTAGGTGGCTGAAACTTTAGGCAGAGGGTTAAAACTCCTTGTTGTCAATGCTTCTGCTGTTGTTTTTGTTTATGTTGCTGCTGCTGCTGTCGCTCATTTGTTATGCGACAATGATATATGTCATGCAAAAGTTTCGGCAGCTGTCAGAAGACATGTTTTTGGGCTTTTTATTTTCCTGTCTGTCATCCCTGTCCCAATTGCTTTTGCCTTAACCAAATCCCTAGTTTCCCTTCTTGATGTCAACGCAGATTTGTACTCCTCTTTTGCGGCTGCTGCTTTTAATCGCTTGTCGACTGCAAAGTTGAGAGACCAACCAAGAAAGAAACCAGTTTCGAGGGTTGATTAAATACATGTTAATGCATATTTTTGTCTCAGAGAGACTTAAGATTTAAGACTTTTCGCCAGAAATCATTACATTTCAAATATTGTCTCTAAAGAATGTTTTTATGCGACTTTAACTGAAATTAGATTGTGCCAGCAGCACCAGATGTTATATATATTTTCCTAATTTTACACATATTAGTTCCGGTTAGCCATATTAGATATGCCAGTGGGAAGACATTTTGTTCAGCTCTCGCCCTCCTAAGAAAAATATACGCAATTTACATATCTCATACTTTTACAACGTCAGCTGCTTCCTTTTGACAATTTTTGGTTGGTTAATGTTCAGTGATTTAGCTGATGATTTTTCTTATATTCGCTGACTCCACTTTTGACTCATGTACGTGCTGCTGTGTTACTTTCGGTGCGTTGGGGTGGTGTACAAATTGAGTACACTAACATTTTTGCTCAAATTATTGAAGGCTTGTAGCAAACGCACGCGACTTTATATGTATAGAAATTTATTCAGCCATAAAGGCGTGAACATTTTTCTTTACAAATCAAGGCACAAGAGGACATCCATTGCGACTGGTTCCTACCCGTCTTGCCTGCCTTCCTTTGACACTTGTCTTTATGACTATGCCGCTTTCCACTTTTTCACGTTACGATGTGATTTATTTGTATTCTTTATATTCCAGCATCGTTATTGACATTTTGCTGCCTTTCCCACCGCCGCCGCCGCTTCTATTGATTACTTGTGCAGGTTATTTATTTATTTTTTGTTGTATAGTCAAGATGGCTTTCGGGGAAAAAAAATTCAATTTATATTTCAGTATAAAAATTTTTTTAAAATACTACCAACGCATTTTAATGCGAGCCAAAAGTTTAGTTCAAATTTGGCATTTTGAGGTGGACACGAAACTAAATAGGCATATAGCAACGTATGACTCTATTGAAGGCGAGAACGATAAGTATGAGCAAGCGTTAACATCGCGTACTTCTGAAAAATCCGCTTATTCTTCAATTAAAAGGCGTCGAGTTTAAAATTTTCACTTAAGAAGAAACATTACAAAATTAAATATTACTATAGCCATCGACTGCTTTAAATATTTATTGAAGCTAGCTATTATATATACTAAAATTAAAAGGTCTATAGATTAAATGAAAAGTTATGATTCGATTAAAAGCGGTCCCCGTTAATTGAGATTGCCTAAATTATTTTCATAAAAATATGAAACGAAACAAAACTGTTATCTGAGGCGCAGAGCAAATTTACTCAATTCGAAAAATTCCAGATGCTCTTGACAGTGTTGGTCTTTTTGCTGTTGCTGCTCCTTTTCAGATAAGTTACGATCTTAATTAATTCAGAGCTTGGCTAACGCTGCATAAGTGTCTGTTGGGGTCTATCCTTTGAATGTGCTGGGCTGGGGCATGAGTCTGGGCACAGTTTGTCGCCTGAGCATCACTTCAATTAAGGCACTTCAGGGCATATGCTGGCTGAGTTGCACGTGCTGTAATGCAGCAATCTCAACCCACGATTTACTCTTCAGACTGCCTGCTGCTCTCTACAAGTGTCAGGCGCTGATTATGATGAAGCATCTTGTGTCATAAATAAACACTACACTTTTCTGTGTGGGTTTCAGTGTGTGTAGTCCTGTTGCGCCTGTTGCTTGTTTATTAACCCTTTTTGTGAATCTTGCTGGGAAGAAAAGCCAACTTCCAAGTATCTTTTACCTTGACTGTTGCCAGGCTTTTGCTGTCTGGTGTGGGTTATTCTTGCTTTGCGCACCACACATATGCACTTATCTCGCTTCCTCTTAGCTTTTGTGCTCTTGTATATACTGTGTGGTTCTTTTCTGTGGTTTGTCTTAAGCCACCTTCACAATTTCTTCAACCCGTGCGGTTTTTAATTATTTCAAGTTTTCTGCCTGCCCCAACTAGAGACCCTCTGTTGAGACCAGGTAATTTTACTTGCGACGCTTGGTTTCTGGCTCATTTTATTAAGGTATAAGATAAACAGCTCACCGTATAATTATTATTATTCAGTTACGCTCTTCTACTTAATATGCTTCAATTGAAAAGTGAAAAAAAACGCATTCCGGCTGGCTATGCATACGGTGCGTAGGTCACTCGGTCATCAACTAACTAGCTAAGTACTAGGCCAGTTAGTTCACGGTGTAGTTGTCTATTCATTATCCCATTTCCGCTTGAATGAGCAAAAGCGTTATACTAAATATAAACACATTCAGTCACACACGTACACACGTACACACACTCACACGCACACTCTTCTAAAAATGTAATAATGGAAATTGCAAGCGACAGTGAGAAATTCAATTAGCTTTGAGCTGTCGACAATACTTGCAAAGGGTCTGGGGAAGGGAACCCCAAATTTTCCATGTGTTTGTGTGTGTCGCCGTCATGGCATAATTTAATTTGTACGCTGCTCAGTCATTTATTTCAGCAAGCATTCATTCAGCCAATCAGTTAGCTCGCATTGTATGCAAAATACGAAGGAAAAAAAGTATATATATATACAACATATATTTTTATGTGCATATAAACGGATACGTACAAAAATATATGTATTCATTGAGCTACATGGTGTAGACTTGCAAGACCCCAAGCATTTCAATGGTGTTTAAAAGCTAAATGTTAATTTACCTAGCCATTAAAAAAAATATTCCACAAATTCCATTTTAAATCTTATGCTTTCTGAAAAGGAAATTTTAGCTTTGTTTGCAAAAAAAAAACTTGGTTACATTAACAGTTAGCAGTTAAATGACATAAAACTTCGAAATTTTAGTTTTTCCATTTTTATCTAGACATTGTATGTTGTGAGAGAGGAAGTAAAGCTACAGTCCATTTCAATTCAGTAATTAAACTCAAGTAGAATTAAAAAAAATTGCAAGCAATTATTATTTGTCATTAGTTGAAGCCGGGGGGGGGGGGAGAGGACGAGCAATCGACGACTGCACGGTTTTCAATTTGGCTCGCTGAAACCGAATGAATGACCCTACGGAGTGCGCATCAAGAAATGCACGAGGAACAATTAATTTGTACGAATTAATGAATCCAAGGGGAAAAGACTAAGCACCTAACCAAAAGATCGACCAGCTGAATGGGTAAATCCATTGAAGATGTTGATTGGTGCAGCGATTATGAGAATCTAAAGAGTAGCAGAACCAAAGGAATTGTGGTTGTTGTTACCCACATCGATATGCAAGGAGGGGGTAGAGGGCAGCCGGTCTGGTCTGGATTGTGGAAACATCAAATTGACACTTGAGTGACGACGCCGACGACTACGACGTCGTCAAATCGATTTAAGCATAACAACAAAATAGGGGCGCGATAAGGAGTGAACTCAAACGAAACGGAGACTGCAGCAAGTATTGCTGCTATCTCGCTTGTTGTTGCAAAAACACGACGACATCAGCAGCAACAATGACTCCTCGTACCTTCAAAAAGATTTTTCATATTGTATTTAGTATTTTGTTGTTGTTGCCGCGGGACTACTGTACTATTAAACGCTATTTTGCAATCTGCAACACAGAACAGGTTTAAATGCTCTGTAGTTAGTCCTAAATTATTAAGCACAAACGACAAATCTTTAGAAAGTAACATCAGCGGCCGTAGTTTTGTCTTAGTCTTAGGTAAAGTTTTGTAGTCAGGCAATCTCATCGACAGAATTCGAACTTGTGTGTTCCCTTTTGCATTGTGCAAAACGCACTTTAAGCTGTCAATGCCAGACGTTTGAGAGAAGTTATTTGTTACTGCACCGTAGTTTCTTTTTGTCGCATTTTTGAAAATTTTCCGTTACCTGTTAACGAGCTTTAACACTATGAACCATGTGAACTGCAGTATTTGATTTGAGTTGCACTCGTAGTTTTGCAGTTCGTTTGTTCTGCTTCGGCATCATCACGCAGTTGCAGCATCTTAATTATATGCTGAAGCTGAGCTGATGCTGCTCATCAGCAAGTACGCCTGCCCTCCTCCTTTGTCCATAATCAACACAAGCAGCAAAAACTGCAGCTGCTGTTTTTTTCTGCTTCGCATCCTATTCATGTCTGCGGTTCGATTTTCAGTACGTTTTATTTCGCCTTAAGTTATTTTCAAGTCGAACGCAATTCACTGTCCCTTTGCACTTTGGCACTTAACCCAGCGAGTCAGTGCACACTGTACAGAGAAGCAGCTCGATATAGCAGCTAAGTAGATTGTGCAGAGGAGTTGAGAGCGTGTCACACGGACGCACACAACAAAAAGTGTTCGATTTTCTGATATAACTGAAATCGGATAACTATTTTCTTTGTATTCTGCAGTCATAGGAAATAAAATAAATAATTTCTGAAAAAATTTGTGCTTGAAGCAGATATATTTTGCGTGAAAAAAAATACAGTCAATTGTGTTTGAAAGGAATGCATTTCTCAAAACCAGAGTTTGATAAATAAAATGTTATAGTTGAGATAAGATTAAATGTTGCTTCGTCATCAGAGCTACCAAAGACAACATTGCCTACTTAATCATCAATAATAATGAATGTAACTAATTTATGCACTTAATGTGTGCCTACTATTGAAATTCATCAACCAATTGTTTTTTAAATATGCTTTGTGCAAGCAAAACAAGTCGCACAGAACGAATTTAAAATCCAAATAAATTGATAAAAATTTCTTTTCTTGAAATATAAAACAGATAAAAACACATAAAGAAGAGGTAAAGTAAAGGCGCATACAAGTGAGATATGTTATTGTTACAGATTGGTATGCAATGTTGTTATTTTTATTGCTATAGTTCGTGGCCTGTTTATCAGGCATTCTGTTTGCAACTGAATAAATCTTTTTGTGAGAGAGTGAGAGCGGGACCCCAATGCGCGCATTGTGCTGCTTTTTATCTAACTTTCATTAGAACAACAAACGCCACAACAGTAGCTGCAATAACAACTGCAAAGGCCGCCAGCAACTGGCTGCATTCATACTATGTGCGTTCATTGAACTATGCCGGCACATTGTAGCTGTAATAACAACAAACGGGCAAACATACCGCGCATGTGCGAATTCTGTATACCCTGCATTTGAGTTGCTTATTAGTGCCTTTTAATCGCACGCTGACTTTGCATTAACATTGATGCACCGTGAGTCTCAAATCGAAGAGACCTACATAATTGATAGTATGTAATTCGCATTGAATACAAATATAATCAATAAACGTACAACTGGTATGTCGTAGTCGAGGACTACTCTCTAGAGCACTCTTTAGTGATGTAGGTTTTTTTGATATTGATGTGTTTTCTTGCTGTAAAATCTATTAAATGCTCTGGCTCGCGCGTTTATTTTGTGCTGCGCCTCGGCCGCGTCTCTCTTTTTGTTTCTCAATTTTTCTGTCTGTTAGTCTGCTTACAGAATACGCATAAGTTGTTTTGCTGTATACTTTGCGACTGCTATTTGTTCGGAGTAAAAAACATTTAGAGATTTCATTCATAAATGCTGTGAAAAGCAACAGTGCGCTGCTGTGCTGCTACTCGCATTTAATGAGGTTTAGCAAATACACAGCAACCGCGCAATGGGGTTAGGAGACAAAGACTGCGACAAATTAATCGAAGCTCAACATAAAATCATATTTGGAATTTAGGTTTTTAGCTTAAGTAACCTGTTTTTTTTTTGTTTGTTTGTTTTGTTATTGGTGCTTATGCAATTACCAGTAACTCGAGTGGCGAACTCGTTTCCATGCTCAACAAAATGATTGCTGTTGTCGGTGCTGCATTTTTAGGCTAAAAATAAACAACAAAATTGCATATTTACTGCCGCATTGATTTTGTAGCTTTTCATACCCTGTACTCATAAAAAAAAACTTAAAACAGTGACATGAAGTTAAGATTCTAGCACAGAAATGCTTAAGTATCGTTAAATATTACTGCCCTGAAAGTTGTATTATGATTAAAAGGCAACTCCAATCAATATTTGATTTTGTTTGTATATATTTTAAGTAATGAAACTTTATTATATATTTGAAATGTAGTATACGGTATCTTCTAGTCTTGCTCTTGCGAGTGAATGAATTCTTGCTCTTTTTTTTATTTTTTTCTTTACGCTTGCGGTTTTGTCTGTTTCCAGTCTGCGCAGCGGAAGAAACAAATTCAGTTCTCTGTTTTGTCAAACAGCACACACAAGGGAGCAATTTGTTATTTTTGGTTTTTTTTTTTTCAAATTCAAAGCGGATGCGCAACGTATTCTAAAATGACTAACCTAATCATGCAATTTTTATTGCAACTAATTGAAAGTCATACGACTTTCAAGAAAGTTGAGAGTTTGAACAATAGCGAGTTTTCGCACGCTCCAAGCATTTTTCCAGCAGCCCACTTGAACAGAAAGCGCCATCGTACCCACATACATACATAACATACATACATACAAATTTTAACGTCCAGGGGCCCTAGTCCCGTGGTCTGTCGCACATGCTGGACTCGGTTGGTCTGCATTCAACTATGACGGTCTGTTAGACAAACGCAGAGCGGACGGGACAATCTTTTTGACCACTAGCAATGCGGCCGCCGCCGCATGAATTATTTATATGCAGCTTCTCTGATGCAGCTGTACAAACACACATATTAGCATAATAACTTGCATCATAACTTGCATCTGATGGCTTTGCTGGCTTTGTGGATAGCTAACGCAGACATTTGTTGGACGGGTATTTTTCCATTCTTTAAACCGAACTTAACGCAGCATATATTTAAAATTGTTAAGTCTACGGACAAAGTTTAAATTAATTAAGTTACATGACAGACCAGAGGCAAGCTGCAAATACTTTTGTCTTGTATTTTATATCTTAGGTTAAAATTGCAGAGCATGTCGCAGTCGAGGCGAGAGTCTCAAATGTATTTGTCTGGCTTTTGTTAAGGAATATGCCTGTAACCGACGACTACAAGGAGTTCATTTTTTACGCAACTGCAACGATAGCTGAGTTGCAGCATGCGCCACATCAGTTTCAGCAAACGCTTGCACAAATATTTGTTAACGTGACCGTGAACTGGCATAATATGGCACGAGACATTTATGCCGCGACACGTGCCGCCAACATATTTTTAATGTGAATAATTTTTAGCTTCTGATCCCGTTTCAAGTTGGTCTCCTATCCGGATTTGAAATGAACAATTAATAGTGAGGAGACATTTTGTTCGCGCAATATGAGTTAGTTTCCGATCATTGAAAGCTTGTTTCCAAGCAATCGATAAAAATCGATATTAAACCGGGTTCTTTGAGCATATTCTCTTAGGCTTAAGTGTAAGAGTCACCAAATTTGTGAGCTTCTATATACTATATACAGATCAAGTATATATTTTTCCTAAAGTTGAGCACTCGAGCGCGTAGTGTGAGCTGCATCTGGTTTGGTAGAATAAGGTTTAGTCTATCCCCTAGTCGGGCCCTTCCGAATAGAGCAGTATTTTTTGTTTGTTTATTATGTTATTATTTTTTACTTGAAATAATCCGATGATAACTTGATTAAATTCATTCAATTTGTATTCAATATCTGTACGAATACCCTATAATAAAATATTCATGGATTGTTCGCGCAATCAAATTTTTATGTTGTAAATGAGTGTTTCATATGTGTAGATATATTTTACAGAGTAACCAACAGCTGCATAGTTTCAACTTATAGAATTTTCAACTGGATTTTTATTATATTGTTTTAGCTCATGTTGAATTTAATATTGCTTATTTTAACCATATGTTAATTTCTACTTGTTGTTTTCGTCGCTGAGTTGCTGTTGTATTTATTACTAAGTCGATTGGTATGCAAAAAATATTTGCTGTGGTCGGGTATAAACACTCTTATTGCTTATCCGCTTATTGCTTGTGTTGGGCTGTGTGTAGGCGTGTCTGTTTTTTCCCAGCCGTCGACTCGACTCGACTCGGCTCAGCTTATACTATATAGTAGCGGTAGTTCGCAGCTGGCAAAGTGTCGTTGAGAATGTCAAAGCTACGTGCTTAGCTATGTGTCATGTTCTTAATGGAGTCTGAGATGGTTCGGGCAGGGTAAGGGTAGAGTGGAACTGAGTAGTCGATTCTGACTGCATAGCATTTCAGCCTGCTGTTTAGTTTCTTTATATAATTTATTATAGAATTAACCTTCAACTTTCAAATGTCGTAGCTGCAGTTGCTTTGTGATGTTGTCAGTATTTTTAACGAGCTGGCAGGCCAAAAACGTGCATTTAATAGACCTTGACTGTTTTTTATTTAAGTTTTATAGTAACCGCGAGCTAAAAGAAAAACTCGATGAGGTTGTTAAGTTCATTGACACAGTTTTCATGTTTCATGTTTGTTTGGTTTGGCTACGATACTGTAGTCGGCTTTGCCTTTTATTAAGAGGGACTGCTGATCAGCATTAGTGGCCAGGTGAACAAAGCCAAGTATGGATTGCAAAAACATTAGAGGCATAGTGTGTGTATGAATGGTAGAACCGCATCGTCTCTATCAAGGGTTGTTGTAGCTCTTTTTCACTCACTTGCAACGTTTATGATTACTGTTTTTTTAATTTCGATAAAAAGGTCTAAA